CAGCTTGCTTTTTCACTTTCCCTCTCTCTCTCTTTCTCTCCCTGGTCCCTTTCTGCTCAAATTTAAATAAATAAATAAATAAATAAATAAAGTTAAATAAAAATAATAATTATAAAGAGCAGAGTAAATAAAATTAAATAGATAATTCTTTTTAAAAACTTTTTTAAAGGTTATTTTATTTAACTTTATTTATTTATTTTAATTTGACCATAGAGGGAAAAAGAGAGAGAGAGGGAACATGAGAAAGCAAAGCTGCCAGGTCTGGGACTTGAACCATAGTTGGCCAGATGGAAGTCCAACACCTTTATCCACCACGCCACCTGCCAGCCCCTGAAACTAGATAAATAATTCTTAAAAAAGAAAAAAAAAAGTTTAAATCAGGAAAAGAGACCAGGCTCAGGGTCATGTGATGGAATGACATTCCAGACCAGAGAACGACCAGTGCAAAGGCCCTGGGGTTGAGGGAGCATTTGCAAAATAGGCTGAGAATTTTCCTTAAGAGCGCTGGGAACCAAGTGGCAGATTTTTCAACAGAGACAGGTGAAAGGTATCGAAGATTTTGTTAGGGGTTTCCCAGTCCACTGAGAAAGGACTGGAGGGAGGCCCGCAGCAACCGGGGAATGTGCAGTTATCATATTTTGTTGCCATTGGACAATTAGACCTTGTGTCTCCCTTCACAGCCCGGATTGCAACTTTGTTTCCAAGCGCCTCGGAAGTCCCCAGTGGGCATGATAAATGCTCATTGAGTAAATGAATGCTGGAAAGTTGGAGTAAGTATCTGGCAGGTTTCCTCAGCTCCACCCGGGAAGACAGCCTGGAAGCTGGCAGGCGGGAAAGGGCTGGTCCCGGGACCAGGTGGTTCTTGCCAACTCAATCCCCGGGCCTGCTGGAAACCTTGCTCTGTCTTGCCCACCTCATCTGTGAAATGGGTAGGTTGGAGAATTAAGGGAAATAACAGGTCCTTCAAGGCCAGGGTCATAAACATGATGGTGACTGAGGTGAGGGAGGGGCTTCTTGGATTTCTCATCTGCAAAGCAGAAATAAAGTGACCACCTTGTAGGAGTCTTGATTTTTTTTTAAGAATGATTGGATTTGGGGACCAGCAGAGGGCATAATGGTTATGTCATTGGACTCCTGCATAATTGTCTATGGTTCGAGTCCTGGACCCAGTGGCTTAAACTCACGCCGGGTGTGTGTGCGTGCGTGCCCAAGATCCCGAGAGGAGAATGGAGAAGGGATTGCAGCGTGGCCATCCCTCCTGGGAGGTGATTTCTCTCTTTCTGTCTCTCTGTCTCTGTCTCTCCAGCAAGCAAAAAAATTTCTCCAAAAAAAAGGAAAAAGAAAGAAAGAAAGAATGGTTAAATTAAATTAATTAATTGATTATTTTTCTCCGAGAGGTTTTTGCTATAGTGTGCGTGCACTCACCAGACAGAAAGCAAGAAATCACCCCCAGGGGGGATGGCCACGCCGCAATCCCTTCTCCTCCATCCTCCTCTCGGGATCTTGGGCACGCACGCACACGCGCCCGGCGAGAGTTTAAGCCACCGGTTCTGCGACTCGAACCACAGTTGGCTGCATGGGAGTTCAGTAACATAGCCATTACGCTAACTGCTGGTCCCAGGTGGCTTTCTTTCTTTCCTTTTCTCTCTCTCACTCTGTCTCTCTGTGTCAAATTAAAAATGATGATAATAATAAATAAAATAAAAATAATTCTAAAAAAAAAAAAAACCAAGTGGCAAAGTGGTTGAGACTCTGGACAGCGTCCTGGACCCTGCAGCTTGAGACTCGCACTGAACATGTGTGCCCAGGATCCTAAGAGCAGAACGGAGGAGAAGGGATTACAGCATGGCCATCCTTCCTGGAGGGGTGATTTCTCACTTTCTGTCTCTCTGCCTCTGTGTCTCTCTCTGGTGAGTGCAGACACACTATAACAAACTCAAAAAAAAAAAAAAAAAAAGAAAAAGAAAAAAGAAAGAAAGGAAGAAAAGAAAACAAAGAAGTAAGTGGATTCTTGGGACCAGCAATTGGAGCAATGGCTATGTTGCTGGACTCCCATGCAGTCGACCGCGGTTCGAGTCCCAGACCCAGTGGCTTAAACTCACGCCGGGCGCGTGTGCGTGCGTACCCAAGATCTGGAGAGGAGAATGGAGGAAAAGGGATTGCAGCGTGGCCATCCCCCCTGGAGGGTGATTTCTTGCTTTCTGTCTCTCTGTCTCTCTCTTTCTGGCGAGCATAGGCGCCCTGTAGCAAAAAAAAACCTCTCAAAAGAAAAAAAAAAGAAAAAGGAAGGAAGGAAGAAAGAAAGAAAATGGGTTCTGGATTGACATTGTTCTTCTTCCTCTTTTATTTTATTTTATTTTTTAAGCTTTTTAAAATTTTATTCATTCATTCATTCATTTTAATTTGACTAGAGAACTAGAGAGAGACACACATGGTGAGAAAGAGGAAAATGAGAAAGCAAGCCGCCAGGTCCGGGATTTGAACCGTGATCAGCCATGTGGGAGTGTCCAGCACCTCAACCACCACGCCACCTGCTGGTCCCCCTTCCTCTTTAATTTGTCTGACAAAAATCTCCGGAAGAGGCTCCCAAAGGAGAAAGGGAGAGAAAACACCGTGCCCTGGTCTCGAAGCACGAAACCAGGCGGAGCCGCGCGTCACCAAGGAACACGGAGTCCCCTGCGCTCGGTCAGGTCTCGGGAGGGCACCCGTGTGCACGCACCGCCGCCAGGGAGCGCTGCCCGCCCGGAGCCCAGGGGACCGACCTTTGGCTCCCCTACGCGGTTTCCGACGGCAGCCACGAACCAAGCTGCAAGCCCGGGAGACTCCGGAGAAATTCCGTAGAGACCCCCCAACCTTCCGCCTGGGTTCCATGAGTGTGCGTTTATGGAGCGCCACGTGTATGCAGCGGTCCAGGAGAAGAGCCTGGTTCCCATTTCACAGAGGGGGACACTGAGGCTCAGCATGTACAGGGGTCCACAGAGCCAACAGTGACTCGGGGGCCCAGTGGGGATTCGAACTCCTTTTAAGAATCCTAACGGCGGTAGCGTTCAAAAGCGACAGCAGCTCATCTGCAGGCAGCGCTTACTGTGTCCTCGTTAAGCTGCGAAATTGCATTTGATTTTTATGAACACCCAAAGGGGGGTACCTGCTTCTATTTCACTGATGAGGAGCTCTTACGGGCTTGGAGGAGTTCTCCCCATTTGTGGTGCGCTAGGATTTGAACCCAGATCTGCCCAGAACTTGCAAACTTCCAAGCGCTTGATGAGAGAGGACCACGGATCCGGGGTGCTGAGCTTTGCAAATGCAGAGATGATCAAGGGTTGCTTTTGTTTGCTGAGGGGTCCTCGGAGGTCCCCAAAGCGTTCCCCGCTCCCCGTGTGAACGCAGCTCCTCCTGGCTGGCTTCCCGCGCGCTCCAATGGGGGACTTTTCGGTCGAGTGAGGTCGTCGCGGGATTCGGAAAAGGGACAAGGAGTGGAGCCCACAAAGCGTCTCGGACTCGGGGAAGAAAGGCTGGGGGGGCGTTGGGGGGAGCCGTGCAGGCGGGGCCCCCACGCCCCCGGGGGCCGCGGGGGGC